TTTAAAAACTGATGATCCACAGAGTTACTGCTACATTGCAGAAGTTTTCCTTAGTTTTCAACACTCCTAAGGAGTCCTGATAGAAAAAGAAATCATCTCTTAACCATTGTATCTTCAAACTCAGAAAAGACAAAGTATTAGTTACTCAGAAGACTGAGTTACCTGTGACTATCCTTGAACTGCTAAACTGTGAATTATGGCTTTATAGCATTTAGTGATGTGCCCTGAACATAAAAAGTGCCTCTTACTGATTGCACAAGTGAATGACTGAAAATATACAAATCTCTGATCTGCAAATAAGTTTGCTCATAGTATATTCTGATGAACTTTTATTACTTTGTACCATATTCTACTAAAATACATGAACTGAAAGAACAGAAGAGGACAGGTGTTGTGACAGCCATCTGTAGTCCCAGCTACTTAGGAGGCTACGGCACAAGAACTACTTGACTTGAGATGGAGTCCAGCATGGGCAACATATCCCATCTCAAAATAAATAAGTAACGAAGAACAGATGGAAGAAACTATATAAGAATGGTACCATTTCCAGGCACCAATAAGAATTTGAAATTACAACTAAGGCGAAAAGATATAATTAAAACTGAGTAACACACACATAAACACACACACACCCCACCCACACTCATACGTACACAAGCACACACACTAAAAAAAGTAAAGAAATAAAAAACACACCTGTAGTAGTAGTGCATGCCTGTAATCTCAACACTTGGCATTCACCTACATCAATCCCTAACTTATCCAAAGACTTTTGATTTGTAAAACAGATAACAATGGCAAGAATCTCTCATTATTTCATAATCCCAGCACTCAGGAGGCAGAGGCAGGAGAATCTCTGTGAGATCGAGGCCAGCCTGGTCTACATAACAAGTTCCAGGACAGCTGGGGCTACAGGGATCTGTCTCAAAAAACCAATAAACAAACAAACAAATAAATAAAAAACTTATATGCTCTAAACTTGCCTGGTCTTGGAACAAACTCCTATTCAATTAAATTCAAATAAACAAGCTAATTTCCAACTTTTTTTTTTTTTTTTTTTTTTGAGACGGGGTCTCACAGAAATCTACCTGCCTCTCCC